AAGATTAGGAGAACAGGGAGAAGAAAAGAAAAGGAGAAGATAAGGAAAGATAAGGAAGAAGAAAGAAAAGTCAAACGTTAATATATAAGACACAAAGCAGCAGCATCCACCAACCAGTAAGTAAATAACCTTCAAGGAACAAAAAGGAAAATGCACAAGGGATACCAGAAGAAAAGGCAAAAGGAGAAAATACCACAAAGAGGAGAAAAGAAAGAGAAAACAGAAGAAAAGGGGTAAATGTAAAAGAAAAATGGAAACAAGCTCAGAGGAAAGAGAGAAAAAGTAAAGTGAGGCCCGATGACAGAGAACATCATATACACACGCGGTCCACAAAGAGCACGTGAGAAACATGAAAGACAGACACAAGAAGAAAGAGAAAAGAGAAAAATAGAAAAAGAGAAAGACAAAAATGACAGTGAGAAAAACAATGGAGAAAGAAAGACCAAGACATAGGGAAACAGAAAGAGAAAGGGGAAGAAACTGATACAGAAAGGACAAAAGGGCCAGAGGAGGAAGAATATGACAGGCTCTGAAACCCCCACTGCTACAAAGCTCAGCCATGGAAGAGCCAAGGAACAAGAGCAACAGCACAACAGCAAGAGGATAAAAACATCACGAATGAGGACAGGTACTGGTGTCTGTGCTGGTTGATCATGGCAGCAGATATGTGCAGGACAAGTCCCTGGGCTTTGGGGTTGTCTCAGAAGAAAAAGAAGATAACGTTTTTGAAAGAGTTGCTGGCCCAGATGAAACACTGTAACCAGAAAAGGCTGCAGCTAAACTCCTCCCCCCCCTGCCCCCCATGCACTTGATTGTAACCCTATATCCCCATCCTTAAGAATCTGTGCGCCAATGAGATACCTGTGCATCTCTAATGGCTTTAGGGCACTGCCCCAAGCTTAGGCTATTTAGATTCCCCCACGCCACGTGTCCGAGAGAGTTCGCCAGAGAGAGAGAGAGCTCGCCAGACTCCAGTGGCCAGCGCCGGCCAGCGCGCCAGTCTCCACTCCCCGTGTTCCCGGAGAGACCACAGCCCGGCCCCAGGCTCGGTGCAGAGATGCTGCGCCCCGGGGCCGGCGGCGGCGGGGGGCCCCCTCCCCGCATTCCCGGAATAAAGCCACCACTGACCACTACTTTCACGGCCGTCTGCTCCATACCTCCCACGGACTTCTCTCTCCTCCTCTCCCTTCTCTCAGACCTAACAGTTTTGGCAGGCATGAGAAAAAAGAATGAGGGCTAGAAATATCAATAGACAAAAACTGATTAGGAGGATTTGGGGTAGCAGAAGAAGAAGAGAAAAAGACAAATGAAGAAGAGATAAGGAAGAAGAAGAATGGAGGAGCAGGAAGAAGAAGGAAGAAGAAGAAGAAGAAGAAGAAGAAGAAGAAGAAGAAGATAAATACAAACAAGTATAAGAAGAACAACAAAAAGAACAAAAACAACAGGAGCATTCGTAGTAAGAAAGCAAAAGGAAAGCAGACCCAGGACACAAATGGGAAAAGGCAAAAGAAGAAAAATATCAAGAAAAAGAATTATAAAGAGAAAAAAAAACAAAAAAAGAGGAAAGAAGAATAGAAACAAAGACAGAGAGAGAAAGGAGAGGAACAAGCGAAAGAGAAAACACAAAGATGATATCCCAAGAGACAAAGAAATCAACAGAATGAAAGGGCACAGTGTGCAACAGACAAAAGAAAACCAGAAAAGGTAGAGAAAGAAAAGTGAAAAGCCACAAACAGCAGTTACAAAAAAGAGAAAAAGGAACAGGGTACAGAAAAGAAGACAAAGAGAATGGGAAAGAGAAAATCAAAGGAATGGCCAAGAGCAACAGGAGGAAGGGGCAATGACGTGCGACACCACCGTGGAAACGTGACTCGGGCATGAGGGAAAGGCAGCAACAAGGAGAACAACCACACAGCAGCCAAAGGTAAAGCATCCCGAGGGAGGAGCAGTGTTTCAAACACAGCAAGTCACTATTAATTCTGCCGTCTTTCCAGCAGTCTTCAGCTGCAGCCAACGTCCAGAAGAATTCAGTGATGCTGGTTTCTTGTGATATTGTTCATTCTTATGTTTGAAGTATTCATTGTTCACAAGAGAACAGAGGAAGCTGGAAATTTAAGGCATTCTGGTGAATAATTTCATTTTAGCAAAATTAAATTAAAATTCAACTCTTGTAAGATATTATGTGATTAATATTCCCATTGGCCTATCAATCTAAGAAGTGCATGTATATTTTACACTCTGGAGAACTGATTAAATACACAAGTGCATGCATGTTTCTAGAGATGTAGCAAACTATGTCTATTTTTATGAAATTTAAATTTTTTCAGAAGAGTAGGTTAATTATATAACTGACATATTATTTTCTTTAATATCTGAAACGACTAACTTTTTAATATCAGTATAACTTCACATTACAGGCAGGCACTGTGAAGCTCAGCTATATCCCTGGAAAAATTAGAGTTTTATTTACCTGGACATTATGTTTTTATGAACTATCACCATGGCAGTGGATTGAGATGACTACTGATTTTGAAGAGATGTCACAATAAATTCCCAGCACCAAAAAGACCACCAACAACAAAAATATGACTTTTAAGAGCAACATTTTTATTTATGTATATACATTTGTGTAACTTCCTATACAGCAATAGTAATATATATAGTAATGATAATAATAATATTGTGATTGCTAAAAGCAAATAAACTAGCTCACAACTATTTCTAGAAAATGATGCTATTTGCTCAATCTAGAAAATTGATGCTATTTCTGGTTTTGGCATGAAACAGTATACATTTTATCATCTACATTAAGAGAAATAGTATTAAAAGATACATAAAATTAAAAGAGCAGTAAATAATGTCATAAATATAAAATGTATTTCAACTGTGATTGAAAGTTCGTATTTTATGTATTCCATAGAAGTGCTGATTTAGTGAATAATATATACAGCTATTTTAATAAATAGATATTATAATGAATAATTTTTGTACATGTATAATAAATATGCAAAATATCAGATTTAACAAGTGTTGCTTTGCAACTAATAAACACAAGTCTTTACAACATGATTTCAGAGTACAAGAAATACAGGATTACAAAGTAAGAATATAGAAAATGCTTAAAAATTTCATTTAACTAAAATTTATTTTATTCAAAGAATGCTAAAGCTTAAGTAAATCATAAAATTACACAAAAGGGAAAATAAGTTATCAAAAATGAACTATGGTGGCAGTAAAAAATAAAGATATCAATGATTATTAAGTTCATTTCATGGTTTCTTTCTTCCATTGATTTGTAGGACCTTTAAGATATTCTTGACTCATGCTCTTTGTTGTATTACGCTCTTTATGTAAGTATTATAAATTTAGGATGTGAGCAAGTTTTCTAATTGTATATATTACAAATGTGCCCCTCTATGCCATGTTTTATCTTGTCTTTTAACTCTATTTCTAACTTTCAGAATAAAAGTTCTTAACGTCTATTTGTTTCCACGTGCACAACACCAACTACTGAAAACACCAGTGGCTCTCTGTTTCCTCAGCATCCCTGTGTATAGCAGCACAGTGTGTAATAGCTAAATCTTAGAGACATCTGAAATGTCCATCACGTGAGGAATGGTTAATGAGGTGGGGATTTTATACAATAGAAAACTATTTTGCCATAAATTAGGATAGATTTGAGGCATCTATTGGTAAATGAATGCACTTTGAGGCATCCATTTGCATTAGCAAAATGAATCGCACTCGCATATGTAAACATTGCATCATCTCTCTTGTGTGACAAACTAAAAGAGTAAAAAAGGACCAAAGTGTACAGTAGATATTTGTAAGTGGAAAGAAATTGTTCAATAGCAGAAAAGAGCTGTGTAGGGGGAAAGGGGAAAGCAAGGAAGGGAAAAGGAAAACAATAATTTTAAAAAGGGTGAAGTGAAAATTACACTTTGTAAAAAGGGTGGAGCAGATGAGCTGAAGGGAAGAGAGAGAATTGGGAAAAAAGTGGGATCAAAATATATTATTTATAGGTACAAACACCCTATGATGAATATTATCACTAGGTGTAATGAAAATGTGTCCAGAAACTTAAATAAAAGAATGAATATGCATTCCCTTACACAAGAAAGAACCTGGCCCAATGTAATCTACCCCCCTACACTGATCCACTTTGGAGTCCTGCACTAATATTACTATGTATTTAATAGTCCACCTAACAAGGCTTATTATTGTGAGGAGCTATTAATGCCCACGGACCTTCTTTTCAGAAAAATATAACTAATCTTGATCAAACATATTTTCATCCAGGTGGCATTACTCTTGCTCTCCATCTTTCTGGAAGATTCTCCTGGCTAAGCTGCTGGTGGGACTGAAATGAACTTGACCTTTCTTTAACCCTGTGGCACCAAACATATCTCATGGGGTAAAGCTTCCACACACTTGATTCTCATCAAAGTTGAAATTTGTCATGGCAGTGTGGGTCATCAATACTTTTCAGGTTTTTCCCCCCATAAGAGACTCCCTACCTGAGCAAGTTTAATCCTATGATCTCTAATAGAATACATCCCTAAGACAAAGGTGACCAAATATTCTTTTATTGTTTAAAAACTTTATGTCCGTTTGAAATGTAGCTCACATTAAAATTATCTTTACTGAATTATATATATATATATATATATATAACATACACATATATGTGTATTTATAATTTTCTTCATTCATTGTTGAGCATCTAGTTTCTATAGTTTAGTGCTTGTGAATTGCCATTATAAACATGGGTATGAAGGAACCCTATAGTATGCTGACTCTGATATTTTGAGTGTATACCAGGAAATGGAATACTTTGATCATGTAGCAGTTCTAAAATATTTTATTGAGTGGAATAATATTCAGCCATAAAGAAGAACAAAATATATAATTTTTAGGAAAATGGATGGAACTGGAGATCATCAAATGAATTAAATAACCCAGAGTCAGAAAATACAGTTATCATGTGTTTTCTCTCACAGGCAAAATATAAGGATAAGAAGATGATATGAAAGTAGAAGGAAAATTATTATCAAAGAAGGGATCTGGAAGAACAAATGGTAAGAGAAGATGATGAGTGAGTAAGATCCAAGTATGACACATATATATATATATGCATGAATATGTCACAATGAAAACCACTGTTCTGTATAATTAATATGTACTAATAAAATTCTTAAAAATAACAAAAAATTGTTTTCAGATACCAAAGATATTTTAAAATTAGATTTTTAAAACTTATGTAACATCGTATTGTTTGCAGTTGAGCATTGCTGTACTGTGTGATGAGGTGTGATTAAAAATGTAAATCTTTAAATTTTTAAAAAAAAGTATTGCAGTAAAAAGCATATTATTGCCACCAGTCCTCAAAATGCTTCCTCTTGCTTTGAACGCAGCCACTCCACAGCTCTGGCAACTTTCTGAAGCATCTCTGGAAGTCCTCCTTTCTGAGTATCTAATTTGGTAGTGCTCAGTGTCAGTTGCTTCAGAAATGTTTTGTTTTCATGTTCCTGTGGACTTTGGGAAAGAGTGAGAAGCCTGAAAATGTCAGATACAGTGAATAAAATAGATGAAAATGTACTGTGTGTGAGTTTTTTTATATCCCTGACATTCCTGTCAGGTGGCAGTTGGCTATTTAATTTTTATCAGACTTGCAAAGAGACTCATGAAAAATGATTTCCAGAACTGCTCCAGACAGTTGCAGAAAAGGGGTAAGTGTGTTTGAAGAGGAGGTCAAGTATGTTAGTGGGACTAAAGATAATGCATCTTTAACTGCAGTGCATTTTTATTTAATATTTATCATGTATTTCTTTCACGCCTTGTATGTGGCACACACACACAAGTACAGGAAAAACACACATACAGACACATACAAACATGGTTAGATAGGGTACTACTGTTATAGTTTACAACACAAATGTCCCCTACAGGTCTCAGAGTGGGCCACTGGGAGATGGTGAAACTTCAGGAGGTTGTGCTGCCTGGGACAATCCTGAGGTCCTAGTGATCACGCCTTAGCAAGTAAAGTTAGTCTCCATTCAATGACCTCTGTTTTGTTTGCTGTTCCTACCTGAAGCAGTGTGCTCTGCCTCACAGTCCTCACCACTGTGACCCAGTGCCACCAGGAATTAATAGTAAATTCCAGTAAAGGTTAACCAAGTACATTGCCAGTTCTTAAAAATTTCCAAAAAATGTAATCAGAGAGAACATTTAATGTAGAGAATGTCATTAAAAATTGCCATTCATGTAATCAAAAACCAAATTCTCTTTTTCTCCCTCTCTCCATATATATATCCATAATTTTGGTCTCTATGATTAAAAGAGGTGCTCAGACTGGTGGTCATTAGCTTCCTGACATTTGTTAGTAAGTATAGTGATAATTTCATCTTCACAAGGTTAACAGTGTTCTTTAGTGTACTCAAAACTGTCTCAGATTTCTTGAGGAATTTGGATATTCTTAAAAGATGCAAGCAGAAATAACATGGATCCAAAAAATCATAACTTTTACAATCTTATTTGCACTTCCAATTTTGGGAGAAGCACAAGTAGGTACCAAGATGGTACTGTATCTTCATGAAAGTTCTAAGTGTGATACATATTAACCATGGTCAACGAATTCTACTTTCCATTTCTTGGTAATCTGAAATGTACCAGGCTTCAAATAATACAGCTCACACTGGTGCATGTGTATGCATAAGTGAGGTCCAGTCAAGTGTGGGAGGACTGGATAATACTTGATTTTATTTTAGTGCATATATATATATATATATATATATATATATATATTAAAGGTCAATGACATTTATCAGAAATGTACCTCTATACAGTAAGCTGAATTGTGTCTGAAATTACATAAATAAAATCACTGTGTTTGAAAGTTTTATATTATCATTAACTGAGGTTTTAAAATTATTTTACTATTCCTTATACATATCCACACTTACATCTCTATTTGTACATACAATTTTATTTCACTTTGTTTTCTTTTCATTTCTGTCTTTTTGCTTTTTTTTTTTTTTTATCGGTACCGGGGATCGAACTCACGACTGCCTGCTTGCAAGGCAGGCGCATATGCCGCTGACCTAAATCCCCAGCCCCTCTTTTCATTTCTTAGAGAAAAACCCCTTAACATAAGCTTCATGGGCATACAGATCTACAGTTTGGATCTATCGCTGCTGAAAAATATGGATATTCATAGATTTTTATTATTTAATCTTATTCATTTTTCTCTCAGCATACTATGTTAGAGATGATTAGATTTATAAAGATTCTAAAGTATTTATTTGAGCATTTATTAAATCATACCTTCCTGTCAATTTATTCCTGTATTAGTAGAGCAGAGTATTTATGGAAAACAATATCACAATTCCAGAATTCTTAGTGATAAATATTGCATATTCACTGAGTTTATGTGAGATGCGAGGAACTGATTAAACGTCAGTGTTAGCTTGTGCAGCTACCAACGAGAAGCCGTGAACACTCACTACAGAGTCCAGGCCTGCGGTCTGAAGCCCATTGAGCCCTTTGTACAATAAGCAGCCATTCCAGGACACTGATTACTTTGGTCTTTTTTCCTTTCTCATCCAGGGAAAGAGGACAAGAGGAGAGAGAGGAGGTGGTGACTGCTGATCCAGTTCCTTGCTTTTCCTACATGAAGTGGCCTGATGTGTCTCCACTGAATCCAACTCTCCTTTTCATTCTATTTATTCATTTATTTTTATTCTTTCATTTTATTTTAAAGAGAAAGAAGAAAATCAGATAAATCAACAAGCGAACAAAGTTAAAAATCAACAACAAAAGCAAAACAACAACAAAACACCAGCTATATACAGATTTCCAAACAAGATGAGTGGGGCCAGGGATTTAGCTCAGCAGCACAAGTGCCTGTTTGACAAGCATGAGGTCATGAGTTTGATCCCAAGTAACAGTGCACTTGACATCCTCTGAGTAGACACTGAGATCCTAAACCCCAGGTCTGCAAGGCCAATCAAATAAAAGCTATTCCTTTTACCTCAGTTGCTATCATTTTACCCAGAGTCCTCTGAATCAGCCAGGTGATTACCTTGCTCGCACAATATTGTATGAGCAATACTTATCTGAAAGTAAATGTAATAGTTTACTCAGGGATGAATTTTTAAGGTATTTCTAACTTTTATTTTCAAATTTCATGAATACAACAGGTGTAGGATATCTGCAAAGTTGTAGGATCCAATATCTGAGAAACACCATGCAAATCCAGGAAGCCTCAGTTAAGAAAACATTTGCAGAATTTTCATAGCATATTGGAAGAAATCAGTTATCACTCAACATCAGCATGGCTGCAGCCAGTAGCCAGGAGTGTTAGTAAATTACAGACAACTGGTGAAGGTCAAAGCCAAGCACAATTATTTTCCATTAACCTTAAGGAAGAATCAAATCTTCATATCAAAAATTATTCTTGACTTTTCTGTCTTTGGGAAGCAAGAATTCATAATTTTACTCTTCATTTGTGTCATTCCCTGAGGAAGTATAATATTATTCATTCTTATTCTTATGCATGAATCACCTGAGAGACTTAGAGAATTGTCTTCCATATGCTGACTGAATACCTATACCAAATGCCCAGTGACAAATATAGGAGTGACAAACATAGGAGGAAAGGAGAAAAGCAACATAAATAATCTCTGCTTTCCTGAACAGATCCAAAAATTTAAAGACTTTCATTCATGCAGTTACACAGCATCAGCTTTCCAGTTACATAGCATCAATTATTAAAGTAACAGATGTTGGTCTACAATAAATTTATTCACATTTTCGAACCCACAGTTGTGGCATAGCTAAGATCAAGGAAAGCAAATAGCTGAAAGAAAAAGTACGTAGGTGTCTGCAGCCTCAAGTCTGTGTGGATGAGAATGATGAAGTCATTGCTCCACACCACTGAGATCGTGAACACAGTTAGGAAAAGACCAAATAGTGGAGCCTACAGCTCACGGAGGTCTGTGACTCCCATGAGAATCAGTACCTCCAGTGTTGTTAGGTTGCTTGTCATTAGAGCCATTTAGGAAACCTACCCTGGAAACAAACCTGAGGGTAACCATTAACTTCTATTAGATATGACCTGAGAATATCTATACAATCAAGCTCTTATATAAAATAGCTATGCTACAAAATATGTATACATATATATATATACATACACACACATACACACACGTATATATTTGTGTGTTTGTATGGATATTCATGCACATGTTACCATAAGAAAATTTAATGTTTCCAACTTTGGAATTCTAACATAAATCATGAAGTACATAAACTAAATCAAACATATAAGAAACAAAAAAACACATTAATTTCACTGAGTAATTTTACTGTGAGTGGGATAAAATATTATTCATACTTTGCCAAAAACTTAATTCATACTTTATTTATTTATTTATTCAAATAAGGACACCTTTGAAGACATATTCTTTAGTAAAAGGTTAACGTTACAAATACAGAAATGATTTAAGGACATAAATGGGAGGTATGCATAATCATATGAAGTATTCATAATAAAGTATTTCACCTAAATATAATCAGTGCTTTTGGTGTTACTTCCAGTTTTTTTAAGATACAAGTGATATAAATCTACAAAATCAGAAAAATAAATTCTATCATCAAATTTTAAATAAATGCATAACTCAGTCCAAATATGACTGAAATACTTAACAAATTCTACAAATCCTGTATTACCTTGAAATATTTACAAAACACTCATCAAGATGAGAAACCTTTGGATATATATTTATTATTTTAAAAAAAGAAAAAAATCAAACCCAGCAAAATATTAAAAAGACAATAATTTCTCATCAAATCTGAAAAATCCCAAGAATTCAAGAAAATTTCAACACAAGTATATATGCAATAAATTAAAGAATAAAAAATACCAAGTTTAGTCAAAAACTACTTGAATAGAATGTTAGGAAAAAATACATCATAAAACTGGAACATCGTTTTTATATTAAACCTATGTGAAACCTGACAATGCATGGTTAGAGGTCAAAGATTTCCCACCTAAGAAGACTAAAAAAGAAAATAGTGTCCACTTTTCTTACTGTAGTCAGTATTGTTTTTTAATTTAGAGAAATTTTATGAACCTATTCCCATTAATAGAATGCATGGCCATATATTTAGTAATTCCAAAGATTTCATAACAGGTACACAAAAAAGGCTTTTCAAATTAACAAACAAGTTTGGCAAACTTGCAAAGCATGAAATTGCTACACAAAACAGTAATGTGTCTATACATTAGCAATGATTTTTTTCAAAAATTTGAGCTTTGAATTCGATACAAGTCTAAAAGAAAAGAATAAAATACTGAAAAATAAATTTATCTCTGACAAGGCAAGTTTTGTAAACTGAAACTACAAGACATTGATGAAGTATGTTACAGAAGGTATTTTTAGTAAATGAAATAACAAATCATTTTCATTGATTGGAAATCCTAAACATATAAGTTTCAAAAACCATTCAAAATTATCTATAGAGTTTAACAAATTGACTGAATGCAGTGTTTAGTACAAATAAAAAATTCAACACTAAAATTCACATGAAATATGAAATGGCCCTCAGAATAAGTGAACAAACAAAGAGTAAAACAGAAACACCTTAACTTAGAGAAACCACATTTTCTAATTTTAAAACAGTACCAGAGAGAGTATGTAAAACTCTGTTATTGACAAAATATAAACATGTACATAAATGCAAAGAGAACATAAAAAGAAAACACACATATCTATAATACATTTTTGACAAGGATGGAAAAACGTCAGAACAGCATAGAATGCTGTGACCAATGGATGCATGTATGCAAAAGACAGATGCTGGACTCCTCCCTGAAGTGCAGGCAAAATTGTCTCTAAATGTTGTTACAAGAAAAACCAAAAAGTCTACGAGAAAACCAGGTGAAATTCGACATAACCTTGGATTTCGCCATAGTTTATGAACTTAAGTTTCTGGCTAAAAACCATGTATGAGTGTTTGGCCTGACTAGTCCAGTTAGGCAGTTATCATAAACAGGCCTTAGACTTTGAACTGCAGACCTGGTGAGCAACCTGCCCTCTCACACTGGAGCTTGAGCACAGACAATGCAGTGTAATATCTGAATGTGACTGCTTTCAAGGACTGGTGTCCTTCTGGTCAGTGACACTGCTTTACATATTTTCATTTATAGTCATTTTGCCTTTGTTCCTAGATCTCTTTACCTGAAATGTAAACAGAACTTTTTTTCTAGACACCAATTTTGATATTTTTTGTTGGGAATAGGACTCATGGGAGTCAGCACCAAAACTAAGTATGTAAAGTGTTCTTTATATAATCTATAGATGTGACCTGTCCTGAAGAGACGCTGAGGACTCTTCAGACAGAATAAGGTGGGACTTAGAGGGAGCCCATAGTCTTGCAGCTCCATGATGTAGGATCACTCTCTGTGCTGTTCCCAAGAGTGCCTAAGCCCATCAACTCAAGTGTACAGGCCCAGTTCTCAGTGCTATCAGCTCAAGTGTATCATGTATTTTACTCAAACTATCTCTTGGATTTTTCTTAGGATTCCTTTATTGAACAGAGTGATGATCAGCTCTCTTCTGATCACAGGTCTTCAAGCACCATATGACATGAGTCATAGAGATCAGTCCCAATGTTAATAATAGGGTAACTACAGAAGTTTATTGGTAATTAGATAAAAAATCATTCACATTACATTCTGGTAAAGAAATTACCCCATATTCTTCATGTCCTGAATATTTGAAAAGGTCTGAATTTTAAAGGTAGTAGAAGAAATGCTGTGGGATAATAGTCAAGGAAGCCCAATGTCTGTGCTGTGGCATGAGTAACACTGGCAGCTTTTTGTTTTGATTATACTCAGAATCAGGACAAAAGTCAGAGAAAAAAGCATGAAAATCTTATAGTTAGGCTAGAAAGAAGCATGTGTAAAGTTTCAGTCAAGTCAGTTGTGGTTGCTGAAGAGATTCTTGCCATTAAAAAGAAAAGTAGGCTGTTGAGCTAGTAAAAGAAGGAACACATTGTTTTGGTTATGTTTGTCTTATTACCGAGGCAGAATACCTGATGACCTAAATGAAGGAAGGAAAGAATTATTTAGCTCATACTTGTGAAGGTTTCAATTGATAATCTGCTGGCTGAAAGGCAAAATGGTGAGGTAGATGGACAACTGTTCATGGTGGGAGAAGACTGCAAAAGCAACAAAAGAAAAGGAGGAGGAGCATGGAGAGAAAACTTTCTGTTCTTTATCTGGTATGTAAACCACCCACCCTAGAGAGGATGTAGCATATTAATCCATAAACCCCACATTGGATCATAAATCATTCACAAATTCTAAAGTCTTTTCCAATGATTGTATGTGGCTTTGGAGGGACATCCAGACACAAATCATAACAGTGATTTTGAAAGGATATAAGGAATCAGCAAGATTCAATCAACCATAAGGCTAAAAAGTGAAACCTTGTCATTTGAGGAGAGAGCCTCTGATCGTCCTGCGAAGGCAGAGCCTCCAAAGAAATTAGTTCCCTAGAATTCATTTTACAGTAGTAAGGGTACACAGCAGTCAGATCTTCTATGATTCAAAGAGCCTGACTACTGCTGAAGCTGGCAGCAGACCATGACCTGCTCCATAGAATGCTGGGTTGATATATATGCAGAATTCAAATTTTATGGTTCAAGAAGTTTCCATCAAAATTTCCAAGTAAGGCCTGGAAGACTAGTACAGGGCCTATAAGAAGCCTCTGAAATGTTGATGTATGAAACTGTGAGAGTAAATGAAAGTTTCATAAGAGACCCAAGGAAGTTGGAGATGCTAAGGACATTAAAAATCCCTTGAGGAAAATTGTAGACAGTGAGTAGAAACAGCTCAAAACTGAAGATGTGTATTGTACAACCAGGAAAGCAATAAGGGAAGTGTTGTGAAATGTTTCAATCTCACATCCTTACCACCTACCTTAGCACATTTTATGGTGCTCAATTTCTTCCTTTCTTCC